TTCCGTCACTTTGCCCAAGGACTCTCATGTGGCCAGACGCTGGAAGGGGCAAGGCAGGACCCTCCCTGGAGCCTCTCGGGGGAGCACAGCCCTGCGACGCCTGGCCTGTGGGCTCGTGGCCTCCAGCAGCGCGGGAGATGAAATGCCTGTTGCTTTACAGCATTTGTGGTGACTTACCTCAGCCCTCGGAAACCAACGCAAAAGCTGAAGCACCACCGTCTAGGAAAACTGAATCAGACGAACCCATACTAAGACATATTGATAAAGCCGTCGACCTCTGTAGCTAAGGGGAGAGTTCTTCAGGTACCCAAGGAGGAAGAGAAAGGCACTGGTAATGAGGAAAAGTAAGATAGGCCTCAGTTTCTCACAAACGCTCCAGGTCGAAAGACACAGGAGAAATAAAATGTTGTTGAAGGGAAAAGTGCAGACCAAATGCCTGAAGCCCAGGCAGGTCGTCCTTCCAGGTTAACGGCCGTGGGGAGGTGCTGAGACCACGAAGGTGCTCGAGAACATGGCGCCCGTCCTGGGCAGGCTGAGCCACACGCAGGCCTGGGGCTGGTAGGAGGCGGCGAAGCTGTGTCCTTGCAGGATGACTGTCTGCGGGAAATGCTTATCCAGTGAGAACCTCAAGGCTAGAAGGGTGGTACGATCTGTTGCATGATTTGCGGAGTAGAGATGTGTGGCCGTGTTAGGACGATCGCCACCACCAGCACATGCCTCCTCCCTGATGGAAGACAGTAGTGACAGGCAGCGGGGAAACACAGGCAGGCGGGTGAAAAAAGAAGGTTGAGGTGCACGATGTAAGATTATAAAGACAGACACATCGTGAAGTAAAGATGAAGTTGTGATCTCACGCTTTTCTCCATCTCGCCCCGCCCTGTGTGCTGTGGTTTAGATCTAGAATGTCCCCTGAAAGCCTCATGCATTCAGAGCTGCGCCCTTGGAAGGGGGCTGGATCAGGATGATTGGCCAGTGATGAGTCCACGGCTGAATGTGCTGTGAGGAAGTAGGCCTCGGTGAGAAGAGTTGTTTCTTAGTCACTCTTCGCACTGCTGGGAAAAATACCTGACACCCACACTTAAAGGAAGAAAGTTTTGTCTCGGCTCACAGTTTGTAGAGGTTTCAGTCCATAGTGGGCTGGCTCCAGGGCAGAAGTGACGTAGCACAGAGGCCTGGTGGATGAAAAGCTGCTCGCGTCCTGCTGGACAGGAAGTGCAGCGCCAAGGGAGGGAGGAGTCGAGGAGGGAGGTGCTGTTCCGGGTCACGCCTATGGTGACTGCCTCCAACAGGCCCCACCTCCTAAGGGCACCCTTCGCTGCTGCACTCTTAGGGGATGAACCCACGTGTGAGTGTGATGCCCGCGCAGTGCAGGCACCTCCCCAAACCCTCTCTTCTGAGCACAGGAGAGTTCAAGGGACACCCTAGATCCAGATCATGACAAGGTATGTCCCGGGGGCATGGCCTTTCGGGGTGTATTTTCCTCCCCGGCTCTTCCTCACCATTCCCTGGCTGCCATGAGGGCAGCTGTCCTCCGCCATGTCCCTCCATGATGCTGCCTCTGCCGTGGAGCCAGCCAACCATGGGCTGAAGCTAAGTCAAATAAACCTCTCCTGCTGTGAGTTACAAGGCTCAGGTGTTTTGTTCCAGCAATTAGACAATGACTGAGACACCGATAGGACCCCTCTGTCCACTCCAAGAGCTTGCTTGGGGCAGGTTTCAGAGTGGGGACCCATAAACTCATCCTGAGTTGCTAAAGCAAGAGGAGATTTTAAAGGGAAGCATATAAAATTACAAAGAAAACATAAAAGTGTACGTCAGATTCACAGACCACACTAGAAGAGTTCTTAAAACAAGGAAGTCCCTGAAGCAAGGATTTTAAAAACTAAGGAAGAAGCTTTGAAACAGAAAGAAGTATATGTCACTGGATATACATTCTGTGGGATGAACTTATTTCTTAAAAGAACTGAGGGCTTTCTGAGTGGCATACAGATTCGGATATACCTCTTTCCTTTGAGAATCATGTTGTGAGACACCTCTAAAATTGTGATGTTTAGTATTTGTGATATTTTAGTATCCACAGACATGGCAGAGCAATACACAAGGAAGCCTGGCCTGGCAGGAAGATCCGGTTCAGCCAGACTGACCTGCAGACGGGTCTCCCGCAGCTGCGCAGCTGCTTTGAGCCGTAAACAGTCTTGGATATACATGCACGAGTTCTCAGCTCCCACCCGTTGCTCTCCAATAAAGTCCAAGTTCAGTTGTCCTTTCACATTCCCAGGCTCCACATCCAAGAGTTCCACCAACCACAAATAAAAACATCAGGAGAAAATCTTGAATGTGGAGAGACACGTTCTTATCATGATTCTCTAAGCCACTGCAGTATAACAGCTTTTTGCATATCATTTACATTGTGGTAGTTATCATAAGTGAACTGAGGTCATTTAAAGTGCATGGGAGGATTTTGTAGAATATGTGTAGACACCCTCTTCTTTTATGTATTGTATTTGAGCATCCTTGGATTTGGGTATTGGGGGTCCTAAAACCAATCCCTCCAATGCTGAGGAAGGACTGTAAATTTGAATAGTTATTTGGTGCCCCTTTCACATTTATGAGAAATTCAGATCCAATCAGAATTGTACTTGGGAACCTGGAGCTGCTGAACATCAAACATTTGGATGGAGAACTGGGTTTTACATAGGCACCTGTAGTGATGCCTCGGTTCACAGACGCTTTTGTTTACACACAGTTTGGTCATGGTTAGCAAGCCGTGGCCATCTTTTCCAGAATAGTAGAATGAATTAAATTTGTGAGGTATTGCTGTGTATTTTCCTATCTAAAATCAACTCTGTAGGGGAGTGAGATCAGAATCTAACAGTCCGGTGGTGGCTGCTGGCAGGAAGCAGGCAGAAAAAGGAAGCAGGGACCAGTTAGGCAAAGGCAGAAGATGACCATGGCGTGGAGCACAGCGGTCCCGGGGAGGTGGAGAGAGGTGAGCAGGTGTCCGGTGGATCCAGAAGGCAGCAGCGGCGTGGCTTCCTGGGGACCGTAGGCTGGAGAAAGGCAGTACTGGAGAAGGCTCTAAACCACTGGGCCTCCACAGTCGTGGCAGAGCTGAGTGGGTGGGGGTTGGGAGGGTGCCGTTCTGCTCAAGTCCGACTTGGCCGGGTGTGTTTATTTCCTGGGCTGCTGTAACAGAGTTTCATACACTGGGGGGCTGCCCTGGCAGAAACAGATCCTCTCACCGTGCTAGAAGGTGGAAGTCTGAGATCACGGTGTGGCCAGGACCACGCTCCCCCTGATGCTCTAGAGAGCTGCCTCGGCCCCTGGTGGTGGCCTGCATCCTCTGCATTCTTGGGGCTGTGCAGCTCTGGTTGCCACCTGTGTGGTCCCCTGGCACCCGCCTGTGTGTTTCTGTCTTTACATATGTTTTCCTCCGTGTGTGGACAGGAATCGGACTGGATCAGGACCCACCCGTGGACTTCATCTTGGCTGATTATGCCCTTTAGCAGGCCTACTTCCAAATAACACTCCACTCAGAGGCACGGGGGTAGGATTTCAACAAAATACGGCTCTGAAACTTCAGGCAGAAGTGTTGGGCGAATAAACCTGGAGGCCAGGGGGCGGATCTTGGCATTCAGCACACCTGGGAGGCATGTACAGTTCGATGGGCAGTGTAGGCAGACCAGGGGTGACTCCAAGCCGAGCCCACAGGTTGGAGAGGTGAGAGGCATCCAGCTGTGAGGCAGAAGTGGGCGAATCAAAGCGAGGTGGGAGGGAATTAGGAAAGTGCGGCGTCTAGCATCCAAAGTGAAGAAAGGATGAGGAAGCCGAGTCAGAGTCTGTTGTTGGGTCAGAAAACAGGAGGGGAGAGAGAGCTGGGATTAGCAACACTGAGACTGAAGCGGAACCGTGCGTAACTGTTGATGAGATGGTCCTAGATAAGAGCTTGCCTGTCCTCATTCCTGTCTTCAGCTTTCCAAACTTGATTTTCAACCTTACGGGGTTCATCTACCAGTTTATGCTCTTTTCTAAAGGCACATTCATTCTCTAAATAGTTGGCCCAGTATCTGGACTTGGGTAGATGCTGGGCATAAAAAGGTGAGGTATGATCAAAGTATATCATGAACGTTGAAATTTTTAAAAATGTATTGCTGTAAAGTTTTCCATAGACTACCCTCAGAATCTTTCCCCTTGCTTCGCATGTGCTTATCCCATCATTCTTGCCACGTTCTGAAGCAGCTCTGGAGTCCTCTTTCCTGATGGTCTTTATGAGGTGTGATCAGAAATACCGTGACTGCTGCCATCAAATGAAAAAGCAGCTCGTAAAAACATGACGCTGTGTCCTCACCCACCTTAGTCACCGGATCTGTGCTATTTCTGGCTCTCCCCAAAGTCAAAATGACCATAAAAGGGAAATATTTTGAACTGATTCAGGACATCAAGGCAGCCACAACCCAAACTCACCGAGCAAATGTTTTTACTGTACAGAAATTATACCTTAATAAAGCCATAAAAGCAGCAAAAGTGACACTCATGGCAGGTGCCCTCAAATGCTTTGCAGGGACAGAGTGACACCAGTAGCCAGGAGATTAGGGAGGCTCCTGAGAAGGGCTGGCCTGGCCATGTCAGATTCGGTTTTCCAAGAAAGACTGGCAAAGGCAAGAGAAGGGTGTTTCCTCAGGGAGGAGCTGGGCGAGAGCCCCAGGGTGACAGGACTCCTCCTTGTTTGCAAGTACAGCTGCTTAAAAGGGAAGCTCCGGGCCAGGATATAGCTCAGTGGCACAGCACCCCCCTGGCAAGCATGAGGTCCTGATTTCAATTCCCGGTACCAAAAAAAAAAAAGACCCATTACTTTACAGTAAGCCCCATTTCTTAAGGCTCAGTATGTTTTGCCAACTGATAAATTGTTCTTGGTGGTTTTTTTAACTAAAATTATTCAAGAATATTACCTTATACAAGTAATCCGATACTTTGTTTTTTTTTCTCCACAAACACAAAAGCTACAGATTCTCGTCGACACTGGAAGCAGCAACTTCGCCGTGGCAGGTGCACCTCATTCCTACGTCGACTCCTACTTCGACTCGGAGAGGTGAGTGCAGGTGGAGATGCAGCTGGCGTGGCTGGGTTTGCGGCCACGGCGTGAATTGGCACACTTCCGAATTTCCCAGGGCAACACAGAGGGCTGCCCCGTTTTAGCGGGGCTATGGAACATGCACGTATATGTTCGAGTATAGACCTGTACATGCACGTGCGTGGAGAGCACATGTATGCATGTGTGTAGATGTGGATGCACATGCGTGTATTTCAGTCTGGAGAATCCATCGCAGCACGGTCCTAAGAGCCTTGGTGTGTTCACATGAAGTGGGCGTCATAACATTTCCAGTGAGACATGAGTTTTGTGGCTAGCCGAGTTTCCAGGAGCCTGTGGTCCTTGGACGTTTACTGCAGCCCCTCTGGGCCTCACGGGTACGCTGGGGCAGGGGAGGGGCGTCCTGTGGGAGCCTGAGGTGGCCTTGCAGATGTGCTGCGCCATGGAACCCACCTTTGCACATGCAGCAGGTGTTGGGGGGGCGGCCCCCGGAACTGACTCTGTGGAGAGAGAGCCGGGACTCACATGGAACTGAGTGCTGAGGACTGAGCGGGGACACCAATGAGGGCCCCTCTGATGGGGTGAGCAGCCCCGGAGGTCGCTGGAATACGGGGAGCTTGGCCTGGACTCCCATCTCCCAGGAGAACGAAGTGAGCTGCAGGGAGGACTCCCAGCAGTTCCTGTCACCTTTCAGCCCTGGAGGAACCCCCCCACCCCTCCCGCCTGCAGCTGCCCGATCTGGGAGCCTGAAATTTAAACTCAGGCAGAGCCAGTAAGCCGGCATGCGATGGACTGTTTTTGAGGTCATGGGCAGTCTGGAGCCTGTGGGCTTGCCTACTGAAAATCCTTCTCATCTCTTCCCTCTCTTTCCTGAGCCACGGCCTCTTGTTCCAGAAGCTGAAGGGCAGCTTTAACGAGGAAAAGGAGGGAGAAATAAAACCTGGGAGGCTTCTGAAGGTGCTGGGCAAGTGAACAAAATGGGCTGTCGGGAGGCGTGGGAAGGAAATGGCCGAGGAAACCCGCCCGTACCTTCCCACCCGCCCGCACTGTGTCCTGGCTCCCTTGATGGCACTTGACGTGGTCTCCTGTACTCAGCAGCTGCTTTCTGGGGGGTGGGCGTCAGTGGCAGACAGGGCCTCACAGGGTGACACATCCCTGCAGGTGACCCGTCCCTCCTGGAATTTAGAGTGTTGTGTGTAAGTCCTTGTAGTAATAAGGGTTGACCATTGATACCCGAGGATGCAACAGCTGGGCAGCCCTCACCTAGGGACCGAGGAGACCAGTGTGTACCGGAAGTTGTTGCTGTCACGGCACATGTGCATGTGGAAGTGGGCGGTGCTTCCCCGTGTGGGGTGTGAAAGCAGCTACTTTACAGTGGTGTATGTGCCCTTCCCCGCTGAGACCGGGGTTGCGCCCAGCCCTTTCCCCCCACACAGCCCCTCAACTCCCATTGCTCGCTCTGGGCGACCTCACTGTGGAACAGGGTATCGAATTGATCCAAGCCTGTCACTTTCTTCCGTGTAGTCTAGGAAGTCTCGGTTGCCAAGATCCTGCTCATGTTCCGGCTGCTAGACCAGCAGTTCCCCAGCTTTCCACCCCACACCCTCTCTTCATGACAACCGCTTTGTGAGGTGCTGAAATGAGACCAAACATCATATAAATCACCTGCATGCATAATTCAGTGTCCTGATATAATATAGCTGGGGCATCCTTAGCTAGAAACTCTGAAATGCTCCAAAATGCAAAGTTTTTGAGCACCAAATTAATGCAGCAGGAGGAAAATTCTACACCTTTCTCTTCACAGGTCACAGCCAAAGCACAATGCACTTAGAAATACTGTAAAGAATTAGCTTCAGACTGTGTGTGTGAGGTGTGTCTGAAATGTAAATAAATCCCATGTCCCAGGTCCCAGAGTAACCCATCATACATATGCAAATATTCCCAAATCCAAAAAGATCCCACATCTGAAACACGTCTGGTCCCAAGCATTTTGAATAAAGGATCATGAGCCCTGTATGGAGGAAGAGTAGAAGTAACATATATAGTAAGATAATCAGTACCTCAGTACGTAAGTGTGGTGAATTGACAGCTGGTGGTCAACTTGAAACACCCAGCTGAACTGAACCAGCGTGGTGCTGGCTATAGGAGCCCACCTGAGGATTGTTGCCCGCAGCATGAGAGGCAGAACTGGAGAGGAAGAAGTTTAAAGGCTGTTGGGAGCTGTTAGTAGCTGTTTGGAAGCTGTTAGGAAGCTGTTTTCTTGGGCTGTTCTGCTGGAGGACCTCGTCATGCTGGCTTTCCTGATGAACTCGGCTGTTCTCATAGTCAAAGGCGCTTGGGACCTTGGGACCTTGTTGTCACTGAGAATGGCTATGGTTCACTTTGGGGGAGCTCTGGTCCTCACTCTGAGCATCGCTTCCTGGCTCCAGGTGGGGAGGAAGGTGTGCTGCTCAGTCTCCTGGAAAAGCTTGTCACACTGGCTTTCCTGATGGGAACTCAGCTGTCCTGATCATCGAGGAGCTCGGGACCTCACTGTTGCTGAGGATGGCTGTGGTACTTTTGCGGGGAGGTGCTTCTTGAAGGACTTTCAGGTGTGTCTGGGTGGTTGTGGAGGCATAGTTTTGGGGTCTGTGTTAGGTCCCTCACCTTTTCCTCTTTGGCGCTTGTTTTTTTCTGGTTCTTACTTTGAGCGTGGCTTCCTGGCTCCAGTTCAGATCCCTCAGCCTGCTAGCACAGATCCTTCATCCCGCTGACACAGACTTTCTAGCTTCCACCCTGACCTTTGGGCCTTCCCAGTGCAGATCCGTGAGACAGGCCTGCATGAGACATTGTTGTGGGCTCTGGGCCTCCAGTTGGACTCGTGGGAAGCATTGTTATGGGCTCTAGGTCCTCAGCTGGACTCATGCAGGACAATGCCATGAGTTTTCTGGGGTTTTTTATTTTGTTTTGTTTTTTTGTCATTTTGGAGACAGGGTCTTGCTATGCAGGTCAGGCTGGCCTTGAGCTCACTTTGTAGGCCAGGCTGGTCTTGAACCTGCAACAATCCTCCTGCCTCAGCCTCCCAAGTGCTGGGATTACAGGTGGGCACCACCATGCCCAGCTAAGACAATGCCATGGGATCCAGGCCCTCAGCTGGATTCTTTGGTCTTTAGTGTGTGGACAGATTTCCTGCACTCTTTTTGTGTACAACTCATTGGGTGACTATTATAAAACAGTATTATAATTAAGTGTCCTGTATTGATTGCATTGTACCCCCTTCCAAAACCCCAAACTACAACAATAAGCAACCTGGTTGGGCCACCATGGTGGTTAGGGTGCAATGTCAACTCACTTGGCTTTGAGGTCCACTTGAGGATTGGTGGGGCACACTTGTAGGTGTGTCTGGGTGGTTGTGGAGGCATAGTTTTGGGGTCCATATCTGGCCCCTCACCTTTTCCCCTTTGGCACTGTTTTCTCTGCTCTGCTGCCCAGCTGCCATGACCTGAGCAGCGTTGCTCCACCATACCCATCGATCACAGTGGGTCTGTGTTGGAGCAGCGGCCCATGAACTGACTCTCCTGAAACCGGGAGCCACATTAAACCTCTCCTCTTCTGAGTTGTGGGTGTCAGGTAATGGGAGAGCTGACTAATTCACCCACACTCAGAAGCCAGGAAGGAAGGGGCTGGAAGTATACAGGCATCACCATGAACACACAGCACTCAGTGTGGACTGATCACGGCTGATGGAGTTAGACTCAGACACCCAGAGCAGCTTGGGTTGCTGATGCAGTTTTCTGAAATGGTGAAGAATCCTCATTAAAAAAAAATTGTTTTAGAAGTATAGGCCACTCCCAGTTAGCTCACTAGTTAATCTCCAATGCCTGTGAAATCTGTGTAGAGATCACTTAATGCATATGGGAAGGGAAGGTGTGTCCTGAGCTCATAGGAGATTTCTACCCCTGTGGATGCCCAGAGGGATGGGCAGCTGCTCTTGTCCTGGAGCCTATGGCTTTTATTATTGTGGCTTTTAATGACCAGGGGAAAATACCTATCCTTATGTGCAACTAGTTACTGTTTCAGGGTGCGTGCAGTCTCTAGTCACACAGCTGTACCCCCTGTACTGGGGATTGAACCCTTGACAGTGAGCTTTGTCCAACCTCTTTTTGTGTTTTTGCGACAGGCTCTTACTAAGTTGCTGTGTTTGCACCTGCCCCTCATGGTACCAGGAGTCATTTGTCCTTTTGTGTCGTATAGCCTTTCACAGATGATACAGTAGAAGGAAGCAGGAAAGACCGCGTTGGGGTGAGATGGACAGATGCCTTCAGAGCTGAGTGTGCAGCTTTAACCCTAATGGCTTCTTCCAGCTGCTGGAGGTCAAGGGCTATTCTTCGGCAGCTGACTACTGCTGGTTTCATAGAGCTCAAAGTTCCCCCCTCCACTCAGGCACCATGCTGTGCAGGTGTTGAAGCATCCAGGGGTGTATCACAGTCACCGTCACCAAGACTGCACCTGTCACTTAATGTGTGTTCAGCACTTAATCACCTTGGCCTCTTCCTTGGGACCCTCCGACTGTGGCCGACTGTTTGGAGGAGGTGTGGTTCCCCCTGGGCTCAGGAGGACGCGCCTGTCTGACTGCCCTGCTGACCTGGCCTCGCTCAAGCAGGTGGATGTTGTGCCTATAGCCAGGTGTGGGCTCTGGTGGCAGGTGGCCCCCTTTTTCCATGCTGAGAGGTTGGGCTTGTCTGACGCATCTGCGTCAGAATGAAGGGACACTCCTGGGGCCTCCATGGTTCCCTGGATGGCCGAGACTTCTCCCTGCTAATCTCAGAACAGAGTTAAATCACCCCGCTGGCTTTCGGACCACTGAAGTATCCGATCCCTGCTTGTGAATAAATAAAGAGACATAACAGAAACCACACATGACTGGGGAAGACCCTGGACTTGTCTCCAGGTCAGCCGGCCTCCCCTTCCTCCTTGCTGCTTCCTGAGCAAGTACTGCAGGGATTTACTTCCGGCCTGCG